TAAAACCAAAGGCCCAAAAGAAAATAAATATGTTAATTTTAAAAATAAAAAACTTGATGACTGAATGAAACTGAAAAATGAAAACTTGATTACAAGTCTAAAGATTCCATGTTTATGATTGAAAACATTGTTTTTTGGGTAATACAATTATTATAAAATATAAAAGGTTGAAGGGCACCCTAACTATGAATTGTGTTTGAAACTTGCCAAAAGAATGTGTAGATTTCTGCAAATAGTGTATTTCTGCCACCAGGTGATGCTTGAAAGAATGTGTAGATTCCTTCCTCTGCTAAAACGCAAAGATCTTCTAGCATGTAAGTTTATAGGACAGCACAGTGCAGTTAAAAGGCACAGACACTTGGGATGTGGGGCTCGTGTGTGAGTATTATTTTAGACCTTGAAATATGATTTTTTTTTCAAAACGGCTTATATTATTTTTTTTTACATATATGATCAGTAGTACTGAGTATGTATGTACAGTATGTACTGTACATGTGCTGGGATTGACAAAGATATATCTTATTTGGATTTTAAAGGCACCCCAAGTGTCTTTGATAAAAGGTATCTATCACAGGGACACAGCCCAGTGTTGGGATAGTGTATAAAAGTAATTCTAAAAAAAAAATATATATACTGTATATATAATAAAGTCTATATATTATATATACAGTATATTTTTTTTTTTTAGAATTACCTTTTTACACTATCCCAACACTGCTGGGTCTGTCACAGTGTGGTATCTATAGGTTTTAAAAGCACCAGCCTGGTTCAAGTATTACCCTATGTAAAAATTAATTAATACCCGCTGGTGTTATTATTTATCACAAAACGTCCTGTTGATAATTTCTTAACAGATCATAAGGATTATTTGAACGGATGCAGATCGTGGACGAGATGATCCGACTCGGTCGAGTTCATTTAGGGCCGAACAAGATGCTCGGCATTTTTGTGTAATTCACTCAAATAGATGGACAGCAACATTCACTTACTGTATGTTTTTTATTTTAAAAACATAAGGAGTGGTCCATTAGTTACTTCATATTTACTTCATAGTAGATCTATGCAAAATATAAAAACCCAAATTAATTTGTAGAAAATCATGAACATCCGAGCGGCTATTTTAAAGCCGAAACATTGATTAAAATTGTTATTATTTACTCGTAAAAACAGTCAAACTCCTTCGCTTTAACCATTACTTTATTGATGCAATGGAATATTGACAGTATTTAATTTAATTGCAGTAGGAAATGTTCTCCACTAAAATAGTCTTACGTTTCTCACGTCTGACATTTTTCACGACCCTCCCGTGAGATTCGTAAGATCTTACATTTTTCACGGGTCTGACGAATCTCACGCTACACCGGAATTTTTAAACAGAAACCGGAAACGTAAATAAACATTACCGGAAGTTGAATTTTATTAAAAATGGTTCCAAATTTAACTGGTTGATAGAGATATATTGTGTGTAATATTTGCTTCCTTTGCCAATTCTTAGAAATTGTTGGCGCAAAGGTTAAAGTTAAGGTAATGGCATAGAAGAAAATCTTTCAAATTATCGGAAAAGTATAGCAATCAGGATGTATGCAATAAATTATTTGCAAGTTTAGACATGATTTCTTATTCTGTTATTGTTTTGAAGCTGATTACACAAAGTTTTTCTTCAAGGTATTGATAAGCTTAACTTCTGCTGGTTTTGACATATTGTAGATGATTCATTGTTTATTTATTCGTGCGTTTCTTCATTATCCAAGTCAAGAAAAGTTGTAGATCTACAAAATTCATACTCCTAGTTTATACTTACAATCTTAACACAAGCTTGGTCCTATCACGGATTTATATTACAGGGATTGGACACTCCCAGTTAACCCTATATAAATGCTTAAATATCTTGTCGTGCACCCAATAAAGGTACATCGATCGATAATTTACCGGCGCTAAGCGTAAATGCCCGTTCACAACGGATACCTACTTTACAAAATACCATACAGCTTTCCATTTATTATCCGATTTTGGAAATTTAAAGTTTATTTTCAAGAAAAAGACTTGTTTAATTCAAATATCTAATTTATTTTTTTAAGGTACGGTTTATCTGTCCGCAACGACGATTAAAAACTTAACTTGACAAAATCTGCGGTAAATTTACATTTTTATATAAAAAGCGGGTATTTGAAATCTATTATTACGGTAACATAATAAATTCAATTTCAAAATAAAAAAAGAAGCCGATGTAAGTTATTCACAGATGATCAAATATGCAATATTTAAGATTTATTGGGTTATGTAGTAAAATTTATTAACGCACAATCGTTTTACGGGTAATGTATTGCGGGCTTTACAATTCGCTCAACACGTGAAGAAAATTTATTCATTTTTTTTAGTACAAAATATTGCCGAGATTGTCAATTTTGCCAATTTCATAGAATATTTAAATTTCATTCATCATTTATATCATTATTATTTTTTGTAAATCTTTTTTCAAATGTCGGTGCAGTGAAGTAGACAATCATCGTAACAGTAAAGTACTCTCGTGTGGCTGTCTCGATTCCGGCCTTTTTAATGTCAGTCGTATATTTTAATCCATATATTTTAATTATTCTTTTTATTTGAATGCCTGTAGAAAGATATTTCTCATATTTTTTAATGTAATGCTAGAAAAACAATAAAAATCTTTACAGTTTGAGTCAGTATTTTGCGAAATAAAAGTAACTTTTGATTATTTTTTTTACACATCGCTTAAATTTCTTTCAAGTTTAATCACTTTTGAAGGGAGATAATTACCAGATAACAAGTGATAATTGAAAAACTTTATTTTCAAACTTTCATTACCCGGTAACATGTGATAATTGTAACACTCAATCTTCAAAAACAGATAGAATTTGAATGTATGTTTTGTATGTGAGCAGTCTTTAACTACAGTCCATGGTATGTGTGGTAAGAAAATGATTCTGAAGAGGATATATATAAATACAATGCAAATCTTTTTTCTTTATTAACATTTATAAATGAAATTGAAAATATACAACTAAATTTGTAAAGTCCTTTCTTTGAAAAATAATGAAAATAAACATGTGACAAATAAATCATTGACGTGAATTGTGAAGGATAACTATGAAAAAATCTGTTTCAAAATAAAAAATTATATTATAAAACAGCTGTTCTGTATGCCAATGAATATTTCTTCCTTGCCAATCTAATGAATTCATCTATATATGAACGCTTGTCTAGAATGATCTGAAAATATATTAAATACACTAATTGGTAGAATATTTACTATATTTATACTAATATACAGGTAATCAAATAAAAAAAGTACAAATCATTTGGAAATAATTCACAGAAATAAAGACAAAATTCAAACATGAATTTCTTTAAAAGTTTTTTTAGCAATCAAGAAAACATTTTTTTGCAATGCCACCATTAAACCATGTAAAAAATAATTATCTTAATCTGAATCGCGGTAATAATTTGTGCTTGAAGTAAAAGGGCGTCAAAGTGTAGAGAGTATGCCTAAACAATAGGCGAATATTTTTTAAATGAGGTACTTTTTTAACTAAGCGTTGCAGCGTTCTATCGGCAAATTTTCATATATTAATACTTTAGCTGCACAAAATAATACTGTATCAATACATTCATATGTGTATAATTTTTCATAAAGCTGCATTTACACCACATACTCTTGTGAAAATCATAGTCATATTTAGCACCCCGCGCGTTCCGCCATCTCATTCTGTCCACCTTTATCTGATTTCGCGCATGCGCGCGACGAGACTTTAAGCTAAACGAAAGTGTCCGATCCTTGTAATATAAATCCGTGGTTCTATGTAGTTTTTTTTTTTTTTTTTTTTTTTTTTTTGCAATCTTGCATAATATGATAGTGCAGCAATGGTAATCTTACATTATTATACAATTTCATTGTCATCTCGATGTACAATGTAAAGATAATTTTTTGTTCTTCCTCGTAAATAATTTACGAATTTAATATCTCACTACAGTAATTTCTTTCGATCCCTGTTGTAAATTTACAGGAGCGTAATACTTCGTAATTCAACACTTATTTTAAGGCCCAAATCATCTTTCAATTTTAGTTACAGAAAGGATTTATATTTCATTTAATGCATTTATCTGAATCATTTATTTCAGTAAACGATTCCAAAGAAAAGATGTTTGCAAAACCAGCTCCGAAAAAGCAAGTACCAGCTGGTACTAAAGCTAAGGTAGGCAATATAATTATAATGTCTAATTCTCTATAAATATGTCAGATGTGATTAAGACTTTTTCCATTCTGACTTTACTCTAAATCTGCTGATTTTTGTAATGGACTTTTCCACCTTCCATTTGTTGGAACCAATTACCATTATTCTGTACATAATATGTACATTACCTATCTGTAATATCATTACCAATTTGGGGATATCAAGGTGAACATTTTATGATTTAGTAAGTCAGCCTACAGTATAAAGCAGCCATGATCAGACTGTATGGGTGTGTAGGCTGTCCTAGCTTTAAACCTAGCTCTTCACTTGTGAGGGCTCTTTCTCTGGTCTTTAGGGAGAATTGTACCTCCACCTGTAGGAGGGGGGATTTTCATGTTGTTTTTCACTTGCAGAGAAAATTCATAAATTGACAGCCCTTGCTTATCACTTCACATCTGAGCACCAGGCTAAAGGTCATCGTTGGTTACCCACGGTATATATTCCGTACATACTATGTATTATCTGGATAAAGTAGAATGTATGAAATATATACTGTTGGTAACTGAGGATAGGTAATGTACATATTATGTAAGGGATATATACCTAGGAAAACTGACGATAACTAAAGGTTGATATAACTTGATATCAGTTAAAGTTTTTAAATCTAAGGAAATACGGCGGGCTTTGAACTTGATGGTCATAGGTTAAATGTCTCCACAGAGGCTGAAAACCAGTCCATATTTCTGCTTAACAGCTGAAGAAGTTTAAGTTGCAGGCTCTGAACTTGAGAGTCATACAGTCATGTAGGATGGTCTCTACAGCGGCTGTAATCAGTCCATATTTTTGCTTTAATATTGACATAAATTCTGGTTAGTTCTAGGAAATATATTTAGAGTGGTTCCGTAATTCAATGTGTCTTTTAACCTTTTCTCTCATATAAGCGTGTTTCGACGGCTTTTTGCCCCCCCCCCCTTTTTGAGGCCTCATACAGTGAAAAAATGACCTATTAAGGCCCCAAACACTGTTTTTTTTTTTGAGAAATGTTGTAAAAAAAAGTGATCACTTTTTCGGCACCATCCCCCATCCAAATGTTACATTAGGGGGTTGCCAGAAGGGGGATTTGCCCCCTTCTGTTTTGGGGGGGTTTGAAGGGGGGCGGAGTCCCCCCTCATCGCCAAGAAAACTTTGGACATGTGACAGGCTAAAAATGGCCTCAGCTCGATCTTAGGGTAACTAGTAACCGACGCTCAAAAGCCTTTTACTCTATCTCAATTCATTGAGAAGTTGCAGCACTTTGAAATCAGTTTTGATGGAAAAAACAATGCAAACAAGTGATTTTTGGCAATTTTAAGACATCCCCCCGTTGCCATGGTAACAGGAAATTTAGGATTGAGCATGCTGTTACAAAGGCTATGGTGTAGTCAACATTTGTGCCAAGTTTCATCAGTATTGAAGCATTTTTCATAAATTCATAGCAGTTTGAACTTGTTACAGGAGGCTTTTCAATGAAAACGGCCATTTTTCGCAATATGCTCATGGGGTAAAAGGTTAATAAGAAAATGCGGTGTGTATGTTGTTTTTTTTTTTTGGGACATAACTCTGTATATATATGTAGCTCAACCTCTGTACATATAACTCCTTCTACTTGTTCATATTCCTTGAAGCATCCCTTTAATAATTATGCCCCCATTTTGAAAAAAAGGGGGTATATTGCTTTGCACTTGTCGGTCCGTCGGTCCGTCGGTCTGTCGGTCCGTCGGTCCGTCGGTCCGTAGACCAAATGGTTTCCGAGTGATAACTAAAGAACCCTTAGGCCTAGGAACTTCAAACTTGGTATGGTGATTGGTCATGACCAGTAGATGACCCCTATTGATTTTGGGGTCAAGGGGTCAAAGGTCAAGGTCACATTGACCTTGAAAGCAAAAACGGTTTCCGATCAATAACTAAAGAACCTTAAGGCCTAGGAACTTCAAACTTGGTATGGTGATTGGTCATGACCAGTAGATGACCCCTATTGATTTTGGAGTCAAGGGGTCAAAGGTCAAGGTCACATTGACCTTGAAAGCAAAAACAGTTTCCGATCAATAACTAAAGAACCTTAAGGCCTAGGAACTTCAAACTTGGTATGGTGATTGGTCATGACCAGTAGATGACCCCTATTGATTTTGGGGTCAAGGGGTCAAAGGTCAAGGTCACATTGACCTTAAAAGCAAAAACGGTTTCCGATCAATAACTAAAGAACCTTAAGGCCTAGGAACTTCAAACTTGGTATGGTGATTGGTCATGATCAGTAGATGACCCCTATTGATTTTGGGGTCAAGGGGTCAAAGGTCAAGGTCACATTGACCTTGTAGGTAAAAACGGTTTCCGATCAATACCTAAAGAACCTTAAGGCTTAGGAACATTAAACTTGGTATGGTGATTGGTCATGATCAGTAGATGACCCCTATTGATTTTGGGGTCAAGGGGTCAAAGGTCAAGGTCACATTGACCTTGTAGGTAAAAACGGTTTCCGATCAATAACTAAAGAACCTTAAGGCCTAGGAACTTCAAACTTGGTATGGTGATTGGTCATGATCAGTAGATGACCCCTATTGATTTTGGGGTCTAGGGGTCAAAGGTCAAGGTCACATTGACCTTGTAGGTAAAAATGCTTTCGGATCAATAACTTAAGAACCCTTATGCCTAGGAACTTCAAACTTGGTATGGTGATTGGTCATGACCAGCAGATGACCTATTGATTTTGGGGTCAAGGGGTCAAAGGTCAAGGTCACATTGACCTTGTAGGTAAAAACGGTTTCCGATCAATTAACTAAAAACGCTTAGGCCTAGGAACTTCAAACTTTGTGTGATGATTGGTCATGACCAGCAGATGACCCCTATTGAGTTTTAGGTGAAGGGGTCAAAGGTCAAGGTCACATTGACCTTTTAAGTAAAAACGGTTTCTGATCAATAACTCAAGAAAGCTAAGGCCTAGGAACTTCAAACTTGGTATGGTGATTTGTCATGACCAGCAGATTACTCCTATTGATTTTGGGATCAAGGGGTCAAAGGTCAAGGTCACAATGACCTTGTAAGTAAAAACGGTTTCTGATCAATAACTAAAGAACGCTTCGGCCTAGAAACTTCAAACTTGGCATGGTGATTGGTCATGACCAGCAGATGACCCCTATTGATTTTGGGGTCAAAGGTCAAGGTCACATTGACCTTGTATGTTAAAACGGTTTCCGATCAATAATAAGAGAACCCTTAGGCCTAAGAACTTCAAACTTGGCATGGTGATTGGTCATGACCAGCAGATGACCCCTATTGATTTTGGGGTCAAAGGTCAAGGTCACATTGACCTTGTATGTTAAAACGGTTTCCGATCAATAATAAGAGAACCCTTAGGCCTAAGAACTTCAAACTTGGCATGGTGATTGGTCATGACCAGCAGATGACCCCTATTGATTTTGGGGTCAAGGGGTCAAAGGTCAAGGTCACATTGACCTTGTAGGTAAAAACGGTTTCTGATCAATTTACTAAAAACGCCTAGGCCTAGGAACTTCAAACTTTGTATGATGATTGGTCGTGACCAGCAGATGACCCCTATTGAGTTTTGGGTCAAGGGGTCAAAGGTCAAGGTCATGACCAGTAGATACTTTATAACCCTTATTAATTGTTTGATCACTGGGTCAGACGTCATGCATAATAACCTTATCACATGACTAATTGGCTGCTGATAGGGGGCATACATGTTTTACAAACATATCTTGTTATATCATATATTCTATAAGAATGTGATATAATTTGTACAATACATGTAAGTAATATAAATTTTATACATGGATTTTAGTGACATACATTTTGTAATTGAATACATTTTTTTTAAAAATATCATATTAAAATTCCGATTTTAATTGTAAATCATTTTTAAATCAAAAATTTAATTTACACAAGTAATGATTTCCTTATTTCCATTACATTTCAGAATCATTGGCACTAGAGTATAAAAAATTATATTTAATTTTTTTTTTTCAGACGCTCAATAAACCAAAAACAGTTAGTGTAAAGACTGGTGTCAAAGCTCCACAGGGAAAAAAGTATGGTTTATTTATAGATTCAAAGTTAATTTTTACATTCAAGGTGAATTACAAAACTTGTTATTTAGTGAGCTAGGTATAAAGCACCATCACATGGGAAGTTGTTAACTCTTCTAAAGCTGCATGCTTCCAGATTAGCAAAAACAATAAAAAAAATCTACCTTAAAAATAAAAAATATAATATCATATTATTTTAAGAAAAGTAGAAATATTTACAATTAAAGTAATAATTTAATTATTACATGCAAAGAATGACTCATTTTTTGCAGTATTTATCACCATATTTGGACTGCAATAGTATAAAGCATTTTGAAAGGCTTTTCTTGTATATTATGTTGACATTATTTGGTACTAAATGTACTAAATGGATTGAAAGTTATGTTTGCAGTGTGTAAATTACTTTCTTGGTTCACTAAAAATATTTTACTCTTTTAATAGTTACATTTTCAAAATTTTCATGAAATATACCGGTAAGCATGAATCTGGAGGCATGCTGCTTTAAAATCTGATCCGTCTTATTTAGTGGTATTAATGGTTTAAATTTTGAGGTGCAAGGAGGGGCAGTTTTTGTGGCTTCACACCCAACCAAAATAAAAAGAAAAAAATGAACAAAATAAATTGTGCAAAAGGTGCAGGAGAAAAAATTGAACTTGTGATCTGTCATTATCATCTAGTGAAAAAGTGAAACGGCAGGGCCATTATTGTGTCTGATGTTATAATTAATATAATATGAAAATTTCTTTTGTGCTGCTTTTAACCCTTTCCCCCATGAGCATATTGTGGAAAATGGCCGTTTTCACTGAAAAGCCTCCTGTTACAAGTTCAAACTGCTATGAAACTATGAAAAATGCTTCAATACTAATCAAACTTGGCACAAATGTTGACTGGACCATTGCCTTTGTAACAACATGCTCAGTCTTAAATTTCCTGTTACCATGGCAACGAGGGGACATCTCAAAATTGCCAAAAATCACTATTTTGCCTCGATTTTTTCCATCAAAATTTATTTCAAAGTGCTGCAACTTCTCAAGGGATTGAGATAGAGTCGAAGGCTTTTCAGCGTTGGTTACACGTTACATTATGATCGACCTGGGGTCATTTTAGCCTCTCACAAGTCCAAAATTTTCTTGGCGATGAGGGGGACTCCGACCCCCTTCAAACCCCCCTAACAGAAGGGGGCACATCCCCCTTCTGGCAACCCCCTGATGTATCTTTTGGATGGGGGCGGCGCCGAAAAAGTGCTCAATTTTTTTAGCAACATTTCTCAAACGAAAACATGTGTTTGGGGCCCAAATAGGACATTTTTTCACTCTTTGAGGCCTAAAAAGGGGGGGGGGGGTCGAAAGTGCGTTGTTTCGCGTATATATGGGGTAAAGGGTTAAAATAAAAATGTTCGTGTGTAATTACCCAAGAAATGGAAAATTAAAGACTATCCTTTTCAGTATGATATTAGCTGGTTAACGACTATCCTTTACACCTCATTACTTGATCTCCATATAGCATGTTTGTAACTCTGTGTTTATAATTAGATTTCTCCTTTCATGCTGATGATATTGGCCAGATAGAAGTTATGATTTAGGAAAAAACAATTAATGTATCGGAAATTAGGTGATTTACAAGTTCAGTGTCTTTAGAGATTTTCTGGGGAAAAAAACAAACAAGAAAATTAATTTTACCTATGTGACAGGTTGGTTGCTATGGTTATTCCAACCACAAGACATCAAACTTGTTTTGTTGTAAAATTTAGCTGCAATTTATTTATTTATGGGCAAAAGTTTGACTTGAAAGTTTCTTAACACCAGTTTATCACATCTGTTTTCATTTTTTCTAGAATTAAAACTTTCTATTTTCAGATATACTTGTCCTTTGAAGGTGAAAAATTTCTGCAATTCCAGTATGATTTATTTTTTATGCAAATAAAATGTTCTATTTTTAGGACAAAGAGTGAGGTGAAAAAGTCATTGAAGCCGCCACCAAGACCAGATGCAGGTTATAGTCTGTACTCGAGTGACAATGAAGATCAGGTGTCGCTAGCATTAAACGATATGGAACTGTGCGAGAAGTTACTTACACAGATTAAGCACAATCAGCAAGGTATATGATTAAATTTAATTAAAGCTGTCGTTGATTTAGCGCAAAGCATATTGACGATGAATTGATATCAGATGAAAAATATCGATGATACACCAATATATTGATAATTACATGTACTTATAATTACTTGTCTATAATTCACTTTTATGTGTTTTTTAAAATGATTTCAATAAAAAACATATTCTTGTACATACAAATATGATGTACCTTGTTCATAAAATAAATGCGCTTTGCTTGATTATTTTTCGGACCATATTATGTCATCACTGCTTAGAAAAATGTCCATATAGAATTAGACATGCCAACCTGCATGGTATATGTTTAGTGTGAATTTATAAGTTTTGGTGATGTTACACATAAGTGTCTTATATTGAGTTTTAGTTTTCATTGAAGTTGATATTTGTTACTTAGTTTAACCGGTAGTTGTTTTAAAGCCGATATCTGTTATATTGAATTTTATTTTCTTTGAAATCTTTTTACTTTGATTTGAAGTTGATATGTTTTGCTTAGTTTTTGGTTTTCTTTGAATTCAATATCTGTGACTGCATGACTGAGTTTCCGAGTTATAATTTTTGTTGAAGTTGATACTTTTTACCAAGTTTTAGTTCTCTTTGAAGTCGATATCTGTTACTAAGTTATAGTTTTCTTTTAGATTGATATCAGTTTCTGAGTTTTATTTTTCTTTGAAATAGATACTTGTTCTGATTTTTTTCTACCTTGATATAATTTAGAAGCAGACAAGCAGCAGAAACCGAAAGGAAAAAAGAAGAAGAAAGACAAATCTCCATTACCAAAACCATTGAATGAAAATCCCCATCGGACTGATATAATACCAGGTATATTGGAAAAAATATTTCATGATAACAATAAAAATAAAAATGGTTAATAAAAATATTAACTGATAACATGTGTTTATTTTTTATTCGTTCCACTATTTGGATAATAGCCCGGTCTTGTTTTCTTGTCAAAGAAACCTCAATTGCAGAAAAGTAAGAAGTACTAGTTCCATTTCGGTTTATTAACCTTGTTCGTCTTCTATTCTGGATGAAATCATTTATCATTTACGGTAAGTTTCATATAAAGTATTGTGTTGATGGCAGACAGTGCAGACCATGATCAGATTGCAGGAATTTGCAAGGTGATCTTGGTCTGCACTTTAAGCATAAGTAGGATCTGTTAACATTGACAGACCAAAGGCTAAAGGTTACTTACATTTGCAAGGAGTGTCAATATTACCTATACATTGTATGTCTTTATATTCATGTTAGTATTTATGGTAGTTTGAAATAAAAGATTTATTCATAAAAATTTCTATTTCATTGTCAGTTGTACAGCTGAAGTGATTTAATCTCGCCTGTAGGCACATACTATCCATTTACTAAAATTACATAGCTTTTACATGTAAAATATGCCAAAATGACCCTATATTCTGTTAGTAACAGTGCAGAAAACTGGTGATAGACATATTAATTTTTACTGTAATTTGCATAAAAAATGTAAAGTGTCACTTGTATATTGGATTACATTTCCTGAACTATTTACACATTTATAGCTCATCTGTTGCGTATAAAAAAGTTGAGCTGTTATGATTGTGACTTCCTGGATAAATCACTTTAATACTTTATCACCAAAATGGAACGAAATTCCAAAGTTTTGTTTTAATGCTTTTCTCTTATATCGGTCAATTATTAAATTTTTTACTGGTGTTTTAACTTAATATTTGCACTTTAAATGCTTTCTTTACTTGTATAATGCATCAAATTAATCAAGTCTATGATTATTACGCCAAACTCTTTGTTACGTTTTGACGCCATCTCTATTGACGTCATGTGACGCTGACATAATTTCCTGTTTATTATTTTTTTATGTACTCTGAAGAAGGCTGTTCAGTGAAAACGTTGGTATATTAAAAAGAATTTTGAGAGTTTGCAGTTGGCTACATATTTTTTACTATTTCAACTGTAAAATAGAAATAAATACAGTAAAAATACTTTCTATGACTGGAGATAATAGCTTTAACTTGTTTATTAATAACTATGGTAATAGAAAATTAACAACATTTTTTTTCCCTTACAGGATTTAGCAGTATTTATGGAACAACATACCCGTATGGTACGTCCTTATTTCTTCGCCAGCTACAGTCCCAAGATTATGCCAATAACCCTATTTTTAATACTCGTCTGACTTCATCCACACCAGACCCAGAAAAGCATTTAGCTGATCTTTCAGCGAGCAAGCTACCAAGAGGAACTGATTTTGTTTCTCAAGATGTTCCAGAGAAAGACGTATCTGCGGTGTCATCGGTACCTCCGAGTTTCAATCACCTGCAAAACATGGCCGACATGGTAGATATATACAAGCGAATTGAATTCAACAAATTTACGGAGCTTCAAGAAGCTGCAGCGAGAGCAGAGTTAGAAAAATTCAAAGCATTTCAGGGTGCGAGTGTAAAAGATACACAAATTGAATCAGGGCACAATGGTGAGGAATTTGCTGACGAAAATTCCTATAACTCAAGGCAAAATATAATAGAAAATACTGAAAGTGTGTCAGAGAATGTGGTTGGAAGACCCTCTGACGGCTTTGTTGGCACTGGAAGTCTTGGTTTTAGCTTACCAGCTGCAGACTCTGTTTTCAGACCTGTCGTGCCGGGTTCAAGCTTGTATCAGGACTCGGACATGCATATTGAAGAACAGCAAGACAGTAGTTTGACAGCATTTCAGCCATATTTAAGTGGTGGTGATTCTAGAGAAATGTTGCCCCCTCAAGGTTGGATTCAAAACAACCCAGCACAAGCTCAAAGTCATATTCAGAACATGGACAATGGTCAGCCTTCTTCGCAGAACAGTACCTTGAAAGACGGAGGCGATCAAGAAATTCTGTTGTCAGGAAGGACAGATTACTCAGAAGAAAGTAAAGGGACGGAATATAATGTGTTAGTTCGGCAATCTGAAGCAGACGGTCATGTAGCTAGAACAAATACTGATGGCAAAGTAGTATTTGAAAAGCAAAATGGCCTTTTTCAACTTCATTTAAAAAAGAGTTCAGATCAAAGTTCAAGTGGGAATGACAGTAAATCAGACAAAAGTGGGTCAACAACAAAAGGTCAGGGTTCACTTGATGAGGTCCCCGAGAGAGACATGCCTGCACAAAATTCTAAACCATCTGACAATAATTCTCAGTCCACAAAAGACGGTACTTTTAGAGTAGGATTAAAGAATGATTCTCAAAATCTCTCTGAGGTGGTGGCCACCTCTACACCAAGAAACACTAATAACAGTGGTAATAGTAGTAGTACAAGTAGCTATGGAGGCAAAATTGTTTTTATTCCAGATAATTCAAATACACAAAATGTGATTGGCTATGTTCCAGGCCTTCCCGTGATTCCTGGCACAAATCAACCAATGAGCATGCCTGTTACAAATGACATTGGGAATACTGTCCAATCAGGTAGCATATTGTCTTCAGTTGTAGGACAACAGGCACCGCAGTCAGTATCTCAAATGACATCACAAGTTGGAACTAATGCCTCCTGTTATCAAAGTGCACGGCATGCACAGACTATTGCAGCAGGGGATATAGGTGTTAGAAAACTACGTTATTTGTTGAAAGAGCTCAAAGAATGTACAAAAGTTTCAAGTAAGTACAATATTATATATACCATTATTTTTAAGAAAGTTTTTATTTATTCTTTAAACACTTGACTATAATCCACATTTTGAGACTCTGAGACTGACAATAACAACTTTGTTGAAAGTTGATGCATCTCATGACACTATTCTTTTGTCATCACCAACAATTTTAAATGTTAGTATTAAAATAACCAGAGCTGTGAGTCCAAGATTATGAAATTATTCCAAAAATATGAATAATTTTTCCTTGAGTTTGATATTTTAACAATTTATGTTACTCATTTGAAGGCTTAAAAACCGAACTCCAAATAACATCAGTATCAGTATTATAACACTCTTTGTAGAGCTCACAGTCATTGATAGGAACAATATCGATGTTTCATCGATATTTTTCTGTCAAACAATAATCCATACGCATATAAAAAGTAGATAGTTTTTAACTTCATGTAATTATGTCTAGAAGTTATAAAACATACACAAAACATATGAGCCGTTCTCCAAAAAAACCTGCAATTATGACCAAAATATCGAATTTGAGATTTTGAGCAATTATTCAAGTATCATCATTTTCCTGTAGAATGCAAATTTTGAAATTATCTCAAAAGTTACCCGAGATACAGCCTTTCGCGATAAGGCACTGTCATGTACATAATCATGTAGAAATAAATCTTTCAATATACCTCAAATGAAACTTATAAGCAATTGAAACAAGTACAACTAGGCATACATGTAGTTTGTAACATATTCTTTATACTTGTTTACAGAAACCATTTGATAATAACATAAAAAATCATCATAACAGGAGTCAGATAATGTCTTTTCTATCCGTTGCCATGGTAACATAAGTGTTCTAATCAAAACTTGTCTAAGTCTCTCCTGGACATGTTTCATCTTGAAATATAGGTCGCACATAGGGCCGAACTGTGCTGTAAAGATATCTGCGTCGTGCAGCAGACATTCCACCTGGTTGCAGTACTTGTGGCAAGTGTCCCCGTTCAAACTGAAAGTCGTTTGATTTCATGATGGAGAATGACTCCTTGGCTTTATCGCAGCTCTCTTTAACAACCACCATTCCAGGATGATCTCGGCTCATACGAAAATATTGATACTTTCTGCAAGGGGTAAAATATACATGTTAATGTCATTATGAAAATTTGTATGATAATGATAACTATAGAAGCACTTTAAGGATTAAATTTGTTCAATCAAGATGATAAAATGTTATACTTAACATGTATAGTCAAACATATGTTAGATACTACCTCTGAATAGGAACCACATGACCACATATTTTGTTTCAAATTATCACATTCAAAGTGCAGTGTGTTTAACCTGTAAAGAAAGACCACCCGTCAATAAAGACCACAGACCATACCCGATTGATCTTTATATATAAGTTTGACTGTAATGTATGCACTTCATAGTTATGTTCAAGTATATTTTACAATATCTCTTTACTTAAGCTGACAAAAACGCAAAACTGACTTTTTACTCTTAAATTACCTGATGCCTTCGAGCGGTTTGAAGTACGTTTTCAGAAATCCTTTCCAGTCTCGCCATGTCCATGTAGGGTAACGGATACACTGGCTTGTAGATGATGATTGATTTACAACTTCCGTAAGTTGGCCAAGAGCATCCGTGTCTGTCCTTCGGTAAAGTTCTTTTATGCGGGCAAAGCCAGCATCAACATGGCAGCGAGCGTGACCAGGTATCTGCATCATATACTCAATCTTCTCCTGACGTCCAGACAGAACACGCCACATTAAATATCCCAGCATATAGTAGTTTTTATTCTGTCCTGAAATAGAAATAAATACAGTAAAAAAATTAAAATGGTTGCTGTACAGTGTACTATGTTGAGTTTAATTAGATGTGGTAATTAAATCTTGCAAATTCACATTAAAATCATCAATATTTGTTATTATTATGATAATATTATGAATATCAGTGTGTGAAAACATGTGATAAGGTTGCCGACTTTTATTATTATTAACCCTGCGCCATCTGCAGGAAAAGTTTAACAGCCTTTAAAAACATATTTTTGAATCAGATGATAGGCCATTTCATCAGGTTCCAAGACGCTTGTCACTGACATTGCTTCTTACAACTTTGAAGCAAAGTGGATTAAAGCAGACGACATTTTCAGCAGACAACAATTTCGTCATGTTGAAGATTTATGTTTCAGAATATTTTATGCTAATTGAATTTTAAGAACAAAGTTTGTGATATAATATCGGTTGACTTGTACATTGTATTTCTTTGATAACTGACTATGAACAACATTGTTCATATAATTAACATTATGTGTACGAACCGATAGAAAGTGCTATTAAAAGTTATTCATATAATCACTTAAGTATTGAACTAATTTGTAGCAAAACAGTGTTTTTTTTTTACAATTTATGAACACGTGCATGCATGCACGTTCAACGTATAACGCAATGAGTGATGAATTATTACAAAATGCAATTTTGCTATAAATAATTAAGTAAATAATTTCAATTAATTTATAAGGCACTTTATGACGAACATACCTGGGCAATTATCGGCATGTAGTGAAATTGTTGGTCCCTCCGCATGGTCCCTTTCTATCACCCAGTCCACCATACTGATAACAGCGTTAGGTCCGTGAGTTTGAGTACCATCAGGGCCAATAGTCTCATTCTCGTCTACAAGGAAGTTGTATTGTGTTGATGTTCCGTCATTGCGTACACCAAACAATTGCACTTTGCGCAATGTCATAAAATAAGTTGGCCCCATCTGTCTTGAATAGTGTGGTAGCGATAAATTCTGGCTGAAATCAAAGGTGAAATGAGAATGTCGCCTGTCCCCTGTCTCAAACAGACCTTTAGCATTTGCAATGCATGTGTTGTAGACTTCTCTTTCTTTTTGTGCGTTGACAATGTGCTCTCTAAGATTTGCGGTGCCCTGCAATTTTTCATCCTCGGTTCTGGAATCCATCACAACTTTTCTTAATTTTTCACAAGTTGCACAAACGTCGTCGCGTGGAGATGCAATTTTGATGTGTGGTAAACATTGCTTCCAGATGTTGCAGAAAGTTTTATAATGAACAGCCCTTTTTGTTGGTACAGATTCAAGGCATGATGTTTCGTATTTCTTGTGAATATCAAGTTTTGTAGTAGCACTTGGTAAGTAAACTGGTGGTATGTTGTCTGATCCACGTGGTGCAGCCGGTTGTGGTTGCCTATGTCTTCAGCAGTTTGGGAAACATATGTCACCGCATGTTTAATATCTTCAAACTTTAAAGATTTGACAGGTTTTTTCCCTTTGTTGCCGTGAATTCTTTGAACCACACCATGCTGATCAACATGTGTTAGGATATTTTGAAGAGCGCTCCGCTTGATATCAAAGGCCAACATAAACACAGTCCTACACACTGGTTTCCCAACTTATGAAAAGTCATGGTGACCTTTCTGACGTTTCTTCCCGCGCTTTGTCAATTCATTCTGAGGGCTGTTTACTACAGTTGCCATTATATACAGTTCTTTATCTTGCTTTTCCATTTCCCTAATATTCAATATGTGATCAAAAATGTCAGAAATAGTAAACTGTTTAATGCAGTTTTTCTTGCACCCACAACCATTCTTATGATAAAGGGTAATTCTGTTCACGTCTTCGTCATTTTGGGGCAGATCACAATCAACTTCTGCTTCACCCTCGCTGTCACTAGTAACAGAAGCCCCTGTTATGTCATCTGGAAGCGTGTCTATGTAATCTTGGACCCGCTGATCAACATCTAACTCGGGATCATCTTCGTCCGAGTCTAAACACATGGTAGATACATCAACCTCCTCCTGCGATCCCCAGGGGGTCGAAACGGGCGTCACACCAAAATGCTCGGAAAGCAAACTCTCCAAATCCTGTAAAATAAATAAATCCGGTGAGTACTGACAATTATGGCAAAACATACAGCTTCTGCGCTAATTAATGGGCTAATATAAAATAAAAATATTTCAGTCACTGCAGAATACAAATTTTCCTTTAATATACAAATTTATGCTTGTCCACAAAAAAATCATACACAGACTGCATTTTATTTTGACTGAATCAATTAAAGGTTAATTTGCTTGATAAAAAAAATTAATTTAACACAGAATTCTACATAGCAGTTTATAAAATATGATTGTTAAAAAAAAAAAAAAAAAAAAAAAAAAGTTCGCGCGTCAGGATCAAACCAGCAAAACACTGACTACGAGTTATTGACACTAACCCCTCGGCCATCACAGCATTCGTGTTCAGTACTGTATAAATTAAGTGATTTAACCTTAATCGCTCAGATTTAGATCAATAGCATACCCATTCCGAACCAAAACCAACTAAATTTTCTGAAGTTTTAATAAAACTTATCTTCGTTGAAATATATTGACATTATTAAAAAAAATAATAGAGATCTAGATCTACTGAGTCCTTAATAATTTTTGAAATATTGATTCGATGTCATTCTGTAGTGGTTGGGTACACAGAAATGTCTTCAAAATTTAGCGAATAGATCTACATTAATTTTATCTGAAAAACAATCTTAACGAGTGTGTCAAGAAATATATGAGAGCGAAATCAACCGACTCTTTGCATGTTTATTACTGTGTTAATGCTCGGTATAAGTTACAACAATCACGCTATATTATTTTGTTTACGCGCCATATTTTCCTGATTCACTCTTGCGTAAAATACATCTATACTGTATGGGAACAATTGAACAATTAATGTGCGGCATACCTAATTCAGAGTTGATAAAATATATAAATACAACATACCTCTATATCGTGATCCATTTTAATATCCAGAAAATGTCAAAATTTATCATGTAAACACTGATACATAAAGGTCACTGAACTCACATGTGCTTTCAAGTATGACGTCATATTTATCGGGAAATTCCCAACGTCATAATCGATGTCATTTTGGCAGGTTTTCCTGGAGAACGGCTCATATACAGAAGCAGGTGTCCATGTCTAACATTATCTGTTGTTACACAATGGAAATATTTCATAGCAATGATGACAAATAATGGTCAGAAAAAAAATCATGCAATGGGCATTTATAACAATACATTGAACAGAACATGTATTTTACTGAAATCATTTAAACAGGTATGAAAATGAATGACAGACAAGTTATAATAGGTATTTAATCGATATATCTGTGTATTGTTGATATTTGTCATCCAATATCGATATATCGTTGATATACTTTGCACTGAATCAATTACAGCTTTTTGTCATTTAATCAATTTTATATTTGATGTTTTCAGCATGTTGTAAGTTTAAAATGATTATAATATTTTATGAACAGAAGATGTTGAGGTCACTAGGCTCGTGACGGAAATTGATTCAGCAGTGAATGCTATACCACAGTTGTCCATGACCTTTAACCTCCAGACTGAGATTGACCTTGCTATACAACCTTTAAGAAGCGAAAATAGCCAGTTGAGGAGGTAAACATTCATAATTATGCAATTATTGCTATGGTTTTATAATAATAATGATATTAAACAATATACTTTAAATCAGTGATAACTTTACTTATAGGGACTCCACTGAGGTCCAAAAGCCTAAAAACACAAATTTTGAAATTCTTATATATTCAACTTTGGCATGTACAACTGATATACATGTATATGCAAGTGATAATAAAGTATTCTCAGAATTTAAATTTCTGTGTTTCTTAGCCCAATTTAAGTTTAAAGGGTTTTAATGCTTTTCTTTTTGTGTCATTTTGCACAATTAAAATGGTTATATAAGGTACCAAGGTACCTTGTATGATTGTGTATGATTATTCATCACATTTAGGAAAAATTTCAAAATAAGAACCAGAAGTGACTGTGCAGACCATGATCAGGCAGGACAGATGTTGGGAGAACTTGTTGCCCAACTTATGTTCTTTTTATTGTATACTAAATATTGTTTATATATTGATTATTACATGTATTTGAAGCAAAAAATTGAGTTTTAACTAAAGATTCACTGACTAGGGTATAAATTGTGTTGTTGTTGTTTTAGGAAATTGCGTCTGCTGAATCAGCATCTGAAAGAAAAGGAGCTAAGCTCAAGTGAAGAACCCAAAGATGTCAATTTTGAAAGTAAGAATACTTTAACATAAATTGATTTTCCTCTTCAAAAAGAGAAATCAGGCCATATAATATAACTACAATTCTAACACAACCTAAATTTTTTACCTATTGAACATAGAAGGACCGAAAGTATGTGTAAATGAAACAAATCAGGCTTAATTTAGCTTGATATCAGGTACAGCAGCATTTATTTGATGATGTCATGTTAGAATTGAAATAATATAGCCCAAGCGGTGATTTTATCGCTACGCCCTCGTGATATATATAATTCCTCACTATAAAATCATTGTTGGGGATACATTATTTCTTAAGCAAAAGAGACTACAATAATGTATACAGAATTTGTATGCTACAAATCAATTTTCTCATACTTTTATATATGTGTATTCTTAAAGGCCCGTTATGCCCCAAAAATGTTTTTATTCTTAGTATTCAGAAGGTAAAAAGTACATTTGTTGTGATTAAGTACTTTGTATGGAAGTCAAAATACTACTTTCTTTACATTTTGCTTCTTTCTCTAGACAAACAATGTCACATTAAGCAATTACTTTTTCAAGTTATAGGCATTTATTTGCTCTAAAATCCATTATTTTTATGTTATAAAACTTTTTTTTGCATTTCAAAAGAGTGAAAAATTTGTCTCTGAGACCAAGTGTGCCTTTAAATAAAGATTTAAACTCTAAATACATGTAGCATTCCTCACAAATAGTTGCCTATTTTTTGCTACATATTACTTACATAAAACACATTTTTTAACATTTGCACGTGCATGGAGGTGAGCAACTGTTTTCATGGTGAGATTTGAATCAGAAAGGACCGTGATTTTTCCCACTATCTGCATTGACTAGTTTATATGGTATGGGTACATCGTTTGTTTCGTACTTTTCAGTTCTTCACCTACAGACAAGTAATGACACGTTACAGAAGGTGTTGATGGAGGAAAAGGAGATAAAAACACGTCTGGCAGCAGAAGTCCAATATCTGTATAACGAGATACATAAAATGAAGGTGGAAAAATCGAAACTGATCGCCTCCACGAGTGAGAAGGTATGACGTAACTATTATGTGACCTTTTGGTAACCTCACGTTTAATTCACTGTATGATATATATGAACTTTGAACAAGCAGAGATATAGTGTGAACAAAACTAATAGGTATCAAACACACTCTGCTGTTATGTTGGTTTTTTTCACACTTGATGGTTCTAAAAATGTTACAGATTTTTTTTCTGAAATAATGGCATGATATGGTAATTATCCCCCTGTGAAGATTTTGAAAATTAAATTGATTCACAATATTATTCTGTTGATAAAATTCTAAGCTGGTTATGGTGTCCAGTGTGTTATATCTCATAAACAGAGTCTTGAATCTATGGTTACTATTAATTCATTTTTTTATGCAATTTTAATTTTTTTCTTTTTAAAAACCACTATGGAAACAATTAATAAATAACTACATGTATCTATTTCACAAATCCTGTATTGATTTGTAGATTGTATAATGTAAGAAAAAAGAAGATTAATTATAATGTGATTTAGAAAATAAACAGCAAACTCCTTTATTAAGAGGGATGTAACCCCTCAAAACATTGGATGTTGATAAACTTTGTGAAATACATAGTTATATACAAAAAAAAAATTAAAGGAGAAAAATAAGGTGACATAAAGTTTGACCAAGGGCAAAATGAATTGTATATTTTAATTCTTAAATTTTCTTATGCTTAAAAGAGAGACCGAATATATATATAGGGTTAACGCACGTTTTTCCGTGTTATAACGTCTGCAGAGTCCCGTGGAACGGTTGGTGCCCGAGCCCGGTAGGGCGAGGGCTCCAACAGTTCCAAGGGACTCTGCAGACTTTATAACACGAAATAAACGTGCGTTGACGCTATTATAGCATAAAATTTTCAAACAGATTCGTGATGTATAGTTTATACAAAACACAATTACATTAAATTCTTGTGCTTGTACGGTATTTATCCAATTCTATGTTTTACGTATGCGTTTCATTTTTCCGGGGCCAACAACTTGGAAAATTCTCGGAACCGAACGAAATTTTGAATTTTAATTGATTTAACAAAGCTTGGCCTTTGGAGATATATTATCTCAAGAAAAAACAAAAACGTTACATTACTCTACCCTCTGCCCAAGACAAAACATGACCCTCAGAAATTCTAGAATGATTTCAGATTGACGGTAGAAAAAAGATTAGTGACATCAGAATCGTTTTTTTTTTCCAAGCAAACAAGTTTATAAAAAAATCAGGCACTAAGCATTATTCTCTCAAAGAAATATAAAGAGCATTTATCAACATTAACATAAATAAAAAACATTTTCTCATATTAATTTTGTGTTATCTAGTTTTGTAAGTTAATCGGAGTGTTAAACTGAATGACTGGTAGATTCTACTGTATTTGTTTACATTGACAACTGTCCGTTTCTTAGAAAGGGCGACAACCAAGATTAGCACTGATGTCTATACTCCGTTTTTCCGGAATAGTTACTTGAATATGCGACTGAGGCCCTCGAATCAATAAGTTTGTTTACTGGGCCCTGTATGTATTGCGCATAGGTGAAACCGGGCTATAACAAGAGCGCGTGACTATGTTAACACATGGTTTTGGTCCCGTTATAACATGGGCAAAAGAGGGAAAAATAGCCGATTTTATGCTATAATAGGTCTTATCCCATTTAAAAAATACCAATTTAGTCATGCAAACTTGTGAAGATGTAACCAAACCAACTGTACTTTTTTATTGATTTTTGAAAAATACATGAAGATAATAATACATGTATGTGTTATCATATGAATTTATAATTATTTTACATTATTGTCATAGGTTGTAGCAGAAAAGGTCACAAAAATTCATTGCCTCAGTGTGTCAGAATGAATTGTAAATGAAATTTCTCTATTACAGGAAACTGAACAGTTGAAGTTGAGACAGGAGATGACCTTGGAAACTCAGAGGTTAAAGCATGACCTTGACCTTATAAAGAAAGACCAGGAGTCAATGGGAAACAAGATGGAGGCCATAGAGAAGGAGAATCATATATTGCAGATTACATTACAGCAGAGAGATGAGGAAATAGCTCGACAAGCAGAAATTGTAGAGTAAGTGTGGCTAAATGATAACATGAGTGGGTGAGGGAATGGAGTGAGGAAATGAGGTAAGAGAGAGTGAGGGATTGGGGTTTAAACAGGGGAATGGGGTGAAGAGGATAAGGTATTGGGTGGGATAGAGGGATGGGATTAAAAGGATGAGGAAACGGGAAAGAAACAGGTAGATGGGGAAAAAAAGAGTGAGAGAATGGGGTTAAAATGGGGTGAAGAGAGTGAGGGATTTTGGTTTAAATAGGGGGAAAATGTTAAGAGAGTGAGGGATTGTGGTTAAAATAGGGGAATGCGGGTAAGAGGATGAGGTATTGGGATGGAAATAGAGGGATTTGGTTAAGATGGTTAGGGAAAGGGGTGGAAATAGAAAGATGGGGGGTAAGAGGGCGAAGGAATGCAGAAATCGGAAATTCCTCTTGTCGGCTCATAATAATAAGTAGAATTTTGAGTAGAAATATGTTGCCTGCAGATTGGATTTAGAAGCTACTCGCCCTGCAGGACAAGTGACTCTGAAAATATTTTTTGATGCCTGGGAATGGGGTGAAAATAGAGAGATTAAGTTAAGAGGGGGAGGGAATGAGATGAAAATAGAGGAATGGAGTTAAAAGGGTGGGGAAGGGGTGGAAATAGGGAAACTGGGTTCAGATGTCGAGGGAATGGGCTGTGAATTTAAGGGGACAGGAAGTCTGATTAAGAGAAGGAATGGGCAGGGTATCATAAGAATTTTAGGACACATGTTTTCATTTTAGAGTAGGAAAATGTTAACATTTCTTTTATTCCAAAAGGATTTTCAGTTGAGTCTTTAGATGCCAGTTTATAGACACACTTGCTTACTGTTCATCTTATCATCTACATTATTTGACTATCAGCTAAGGTCCATTGGGTCAAGGTGTTTAAGACCATCATAAGTTTTGCTAATTTCTATAAATAATTTTTTTTTTCAAGGCCATGTATTATATCTTGGTCAAAGCAACCATTAGTGTATATGATATACTTGTTTATAAAATACATGGCATAGTGTCCTTTTCCTATGATAAATGTAAGTTATTTTTATATCCCATTACTAGGCAACTGAAGTTCAAGTATTTAACATCATCATGTTAATTATGTCTCCCCCACCTCGGGGGGAGACATATTGTTTTTGCCCTGTCCGTCAGTCCGTCCGTCAGTCCGTCCGTCAGTCTGTCCGTCCATTCTTCGTTTCCAGACGATAACTAGAGTTCCTTTTGACCTACAGCTCTCAAACTTCATAGGATGAATGGTCTTATTGAGCAGATGATCCCTATTGTTTTTGGGGTCAGTAGTTCAAAGGTCAAGGTCACAGTGACCGTTGGTCAATTTCTCGTTTCCGGATGATAACTAGAGTTCCTTTTGACCTACAGCCCTCAAACTTCATAGGATGATTGGTCTTATAGAGCTGATGATCCCTATTGTTTTTGGGGTCAGTAGGTCAAAGGTCAAGGTCACACTGACCGTTGGTCAATTTCTCGTTTCCGGATGATAACTAGAGTTCCTTTAGACCTACAGACCTCAAACTTCATAGGATGATTGGTCTTATTGAGCAGATGATCCCTATTGTTTTTGGGGTCAGTAGTTCAAAGGTCAAGGTCACGGTGACCGTTGGTCAATTTCTCGTTTCCGGATGATAACTAGAGTTCCTTTTGACCTACAGCCCTCAAACTTCATAGGATGATTGGTCTTATAGAGCAGATGATCCCTATTGTTTTTGGGGTCAGTAGGTCAAAGGTCAAGGTCACAGTGACCGTTGGTCAATTTCTCATTTCCGGATGATAACTAGAGTTCCTTTTGACCTACAACCCTCAAACTGGGGGGAGACATATTGTTTTTACCCTGTCCGTCCGTCCGTCCGTCAGTCCATCCGTCCATTCTTCGTTTCCGGACGATAACTAGAGTTCCTTTTGACCTACAGCCCTCAAACTTCATAGGATGATTGGTCTTATAGAGCTGATGATCCCTATTGTTTTTGGGGTCAGTAGGTCAAACGAGTGGAGTCATGCCAACACACTACAGTTATCATGATTTGACATACATTGAAATTTGAGTTGTCTTTCAATAGTGTAAAAAATCTGACAATATGAACGTTTGTTTCAAGTATCATCAAAATCCTTCAAAGGGTTGAAGAGTTATGGAGCAGACACAATTTCCTTTAATTTCGTTTGTGAAACTATATATGATATGACATTCAAGTGTCAAGTAGACCTTGACCTTGGAACCAGCCATACGAAACATGTACTCTACACGTTCTCTGGATGTGGTGAATTTTTGTTTCAAGTATCTACCAGAGAGGCTTCATTGTGAAAACGAGTGGAGTCATCCCAACACACTACAGTTATCATGATTTTACATACATTGTAATTTGAGTTGTCTTTCAATAGTGTAAAAAAATCTGACAATATGAACGTTTGTTTCAAGTATCATCAAAATCCTAGGTTTGAAGAATTATGGAGCAGACACAATTTCATTTAATTTCATTTGTGAAACTATATATGATATGACCATCAAGTGCAATTTCGTTTGACGCCCGCCTGCCATACGCTGATTGAATAACCAGGATTTTCAAAATTGAATACCTGGTTAAAAACAAACAGTTTAGGAAGCATCTTCTCATACAACCTTAACAATAGAAACCATCCATAGACAGCCTTCATTGAAGTGACTACCGGGTATTTACATTATCTTATCTCCATTTCCATTCCTGTTTCCATTCACAGTTATTCTCAGCAGTGGGGGAGACATGCGCTTTTTTACAAAAGCATCCTCTAGTTAATTGGAGGATATAAATAGGTTTAGATTATAAAGTCATCGTAAGGTCTTGCAAATAGTGTGGCTGTTCCGCATTAAAAGTAAACAGAAAAAAAGGCAAAAAAAAAACACACAGAAAATATAATATTTCGTAATGCCAATTTTCATAATCTTAAAAACCTATAATTAAGAATATTTTTTTTTTCTATTTTTAGAACAATGAAGGAGAGTATATCCGATCTTCTAGGTGAGCTGGAACAGAGTAGAGTAGGTGAGAAAACCTGGGATCATAACAACAGCTATGGTTTACATAGACTGATGAAGATTGTAGAAGAGGAAGGAGCTGGGTAAGATTGGAGTGGGGTGATCAGGGAGGGGTTTTGTTGGAGTGGGGATGAGTGGAAAATATCAGGGAGGGGTTTTGTTGGAAAGGGGTGATGGAAAATATTAGGGAGGGTTTTTGTTGAAGTGGGGTGATGGAAAATATCAGGGAGGGGTTTTGTTGAAGTGGGGTGATGGAAAATATCAGGGAGGGGTTTTGTTGAAGTGGGGTGATGGAAAATATCAGGGAGGGGTTTTGTTGGAGTGGGGTTATGGAAAATATCAGGGAGGGGTTTTCTTGGAGTGGGGTGATGGAAAATACCAGGGACGGGTTTTCTTAGAGTGGGGTGATGGAAAATATTGGGGAGGTATTTTGTTGGAGTGGGGTGATGGAAAATATCAGGGAGGGGTTTTGTTGGAGTGGGGTGATGGAAAATATCAGAGAGGGGTTTTCTTGGAGTGGGGTGTTGGAAAATATCAGGGAGGGGTTTTAGGAGAATGGGGTGATGGAAAATATCAGGGAGGGGTTTTGTTGGCGTTGGGTGATGGAAAATATCAGGGAGGGGTTTTCTTGAAGTGGGGTTATGAAAAATATCAGGGATGGGTTTTGTTGAAGTGGGGTGATGGAAAATATCAGGGAGGGATTATGTTGGAGTGGGGTGATGGAAAATATCAGCGAGGGGTTTTGTTGGAGTTGGGTGATGGAAAATATCAGGGAGGGGTATTCTTGAAGTGGGGTTATGGAAAATAAAAGGGAGGGGTTTTGTTGAATGGGTGATTGGAAAATATCAGGGAGGGGTTTTCTTGGAGTTGGGGGATAGAAAATATCAGGGAGGGGTTTTCTTGGAGTGGGGTGATGGAAAATATTAGGGAGAGGTTTTCTTGGAGTGGGGTGATGGAAAATATCAGGGAGGGGTTTTGTTGGAGTTGGGTGATGAAAAAGATTAGAGATGAGTTTGTTTAGAATGGGGTCATGCTAAGATAGAAGATGGTTTTTGTGTAGGGGATCGTGAATTAAATCCAAGAGGGGGGTGGGGGTTAATGGTAGGATCATGGATATGATAATGAATGGGGATTGTAGGAATGAGGTCATAAGTAAGATTTGGTAAGGAATGTTTTATTAGAGTGAGGACATATAACAGCATACATAGAGGATATTCAAGTTTTTTCTATAAATACATGATTTATTTTCATCGAGTGGTATGAAAATAAATATTTCATGAGTGGCGGTAGCCACGAGTGAAATATGGTAATTTTCATGCCACAAGATGAAAATAAATCGTGTATTTAAAGAAAAAACTTGAATTTTCTGTTTAATATATACTTTCTCCTCTTTTTTGACATTAAAATTTGAAAGACTTTCCCTTAAATTTTGTGTACTGGTAGAATTTAAAAGAAAGTAGTCCGGCAAGACACCAGTGAAAATACGGAAAATATGTTTCACTGCAGTGAAAAATAAATTTTTACAGTGAAAATACGGAAAATGAAAATACGCATTTTATTTCATCAATATTTCTAAATATTTCATTTATAAGTATATAATAAATGTAATTACTTTTTTGGGATGGAATTGTGAAAGAAAAACTTCAATGGTCACTAAGAGTTCTTGTTGTAATTGGCCATTAACTGAGTTTTCATACTGGACTTGTACTGCTTCATATTAAGAATTGTACATGATGTTAATTAATGCGAGGAATTCTGATATTAATATACTAAAATTAAGTGTCCCTACTGGAACCTAAAGTGACTAGCCTTTGCCACCAGTATAGAGCCAGGCCAGCCTGCACATCTTTGTAACCTGACAAGGCTATAAACTGTAACAGCTGGGCCCCATACTTAAATTGTCATCTTGATATCTCAAAATTTGGTAGTGGACTGGTCTAAGGATGGAAGATGGACAAGTCCATTTGGAAAATTCAGCTGGTTTAAAGATTAAGTTGCACATAGTAAACTATGTGCATGCTGGTTTAGCTTATTTCAAGTCACTTCAGCAAATCATTATTGACTACAAAATTCTGTGCAGTCTCACTAGAGGGTCTGTATTGTTGATCCTGCATTTTTAGCCCACCTGTCACAAAGGGAGGGGTCATTTTTTTCCCTATATGTGTATAGTAAAAACTTAAAAATTTCTTGTAAAAACTCCTAAGAGCTAGAAACTTAGATATTTATCATGAAACATCTTCTAAAGGGTGTCTACCGAGTTTGTTCAAATAAAAGCCCCTGGGTTAAAATTGGTACAGGGGCCTATATACAGTTGAGTGATCTCAGGGCCATCATGGCCCTCTTGTTAGTAATTTAGTCTTATAATCATGTGAACTACTTCTTGACTGTTCCAAAGATCACCAGGGTAACAGTTAATATTAATATCAATATCATTCTATATTTGTAAAAAGAAGGATCATCCGTAGGTGATTATTTCATATGTATTAATTACAAACCAAAATGGTACAGTATGTGTAGGCAATCCGAATCACATCATTTGATCTCTTTTTTTATTCATCAATAAAATCAAAAGGATACATTCCTAATGTTTCCATAGACAATAGAATCAGTTGATATAAGTTTTAAAAAATCAGCACTTGTGTGTAAGGAAATATATTTTTTGAGTGATCCAGAACTTATATCATGTATACTTGAATCAATGACACGTTGTTTAGATAACCTTTGATTTAAATGAAAGCTTAAAGCTGCTTTAATATTTTCAAATGATGTTTTCTGTAGTTACTGCATAGAGTTTGTCTAATGTTTTGAAAGTATCAATTTAATTTTTTTTTTCGTGTTGATTTCTAGTTTTTCTTCATTCAGTATTTAATGTCAAGATTTCAAGAAAACTTTTGTAAGCAGTTTGACAATTCAGCGATGTTTAAAAAAGAAATGACAATAGTTACTTTTAATTATGTCATATGAATGTTACACTGAAAATATTGCAAAAATAACCGTTTCATAAGGTGATTCCGATTGCCTACACTGACTGTATCTTATTACCCAATTAAGCTAGTAACCAGAGATGTAATACTCCGATCTTTTACTTCATATGGAGCAAAATGACATCATAGAATATGAAATATCTGTATTTAATATCAACCTTGTCATATATTAAATATTTTAAAGTTAATATGTTTGTCCAGAATTTATTTCATTTGCCATTATATGGTTCAAGCTGTATGATTCTTGATATTGATGTAAGCGTGTCACTCAGAGATCATGGTCTTTTATTTTCTTCCATTTAAAAATAAACAGTTGGCATGCTACTAAATTTTTGTCTTGGCCAGTGTTTTAAGTTTTCATTGGTGTTTTAAAAAATTATAAATACTGCATTGATGAGAAAATATTTGGAGGTCAAAATTTTATGATTACATAACACTCCCTATGCGTTTAATATACAATTTGTCTTGCCCTGCCCAAATTTTCTTATGGAAAAAATAAAGATATCTGAAAAGATGAAAAAATAAAAAATTCTGACACAACTAAGAATTTTTCTCTACATTTTTATTTTACAGGTTTCCTAAAGGCCATACCGAGAGGAAGCAAGTTAGGACACCTGACAGGAAGGCTAGAACCCCAGAGAGGAGAGCTTTTGACTTTAACATTAGTGATTCCACAACATCCACAACACGACTTACCCGGGCAGCACTTGCTTATCATGACCGCCGTCATCATCCTGTCGTCGGAAGACTTGGACCCGACGGCCGCCAAGGGCCAGCTTCGGAATCGGAATTAGATACTCTCGTTGAGATGTATTCAAGGAATAAACCGACAGCTCTCGGTCAAGGAAAGATTGATCGTCCATGTCGAAGACGTACGTCAAGCTCCTCGCCAGTTCGTCTGAGAAACGATCCAGCTGGAGGAAATTTGAGACATCAGCGGACTGCTACCTCGCCAAACTATGGCAAAAATTTTGTCAGAGATGCTGGTGGGAAGATTGGCAAAGGTACGGATAAAGTTGGCTATTACAGTCGACCAAGAGAAAATACAATAGGTCAGGATAGTGATGATGAACAAGAATTGTCTCCCTCTAGAAGACCAGGAATCAATAAAAGGCAGTCTCCATATAGAAGAGTATCCAAAGGTGCAGAAAATGTTTCTCCTGAAAGAAGAGCTCGATCTAAAGGAAGAGGTGCCATGGCAACGGAAGGGTCAGAGATTAGTGTTGAACAGTCTAGATATAGTGTCACTGATTACTTTAAGAAATATCATCCTCAAGACAATTCTGCAGTAAGACCGAAAGAACCTTTAAGTGATGAAAGAAATCTGCCGCCATCTGGACGAGCTTCACGTTTCTATAAAGACAATATTGTACAGGGACAATCAAGGAGAGACAATGATACCCAAGGCAGGCTTGCCTCGCAGTTTAGAACATCGAGTGAAATCGACGATAGAACGGTAAAATCTTCCGATGTGCAACCAAATCGTAACGCTAGACCAAACAAATTCTTTAAAGGAATGCGCGATGATCAAACCATCAGTGCTATTAATGATGATGATAATTTCTCATCAGTTTCAATGTCCTCAGTCACTACGGCTAATACGGTGGATGAACGAAAGTTCCGGTCAGGTATCGCCACACTTGATGCAAATATAGCAAGATTACAGCAAGCTTTACAGAAAACTAAATCAATGTTAACGTAGAAAACTAGAAATATACTTCTGCATACTTCATTGTGTAAAATTATACTTCTATGATGCAGGGATGAGATATTGTCTTTCCTATTTCCTGGGGTATTATGTAGTTTGTATTAGTATAATGTTAAGTTTTTTACCATTTTGAAATTTTATCTCCTAGTTAGATACAGGTATTTAGTTTAATAAAAAATCAGTGGTATGTTTAAATGAATGTCTTATGAAACATATGATAAAAATATGAAATTAGTGGTTAAGGGTTTGTCCATACACTAAAATTGATGAGATCTTTGGTAAGTAAGTACTGCCTTGTAACAATTTGTCCATCATTCAGTCAAACTTGATTGAAAACAAAAGGACTTAATTTGTGGAGAAACAGTGAAATCTGACAATACTCAATTGTTTGTATTTTGTTGATGAAATCTTTTGAAATTCAAAAATAATTTTCAATATGTCATTCTAAATACAATAAGCAATTTCCCTAGAACAGGTGTGTTATAACTCCTTGAAAAGTCTACAAATGAACAATTTCGTGAATGAGACAATTGTTTTTTGTTTCCGGAGATCCATTTTATACTGAAAAAACTCAAATGATATGATACAACTGGTATTTCGTTTGTATCATATTTTGCAAATGTACTGATATTATTATAACTGAAGTATTATGTTATAATTTTGTAACTTGGTAAATTTTTTAAGAAACTTATTCTTAAATTACATGATCGTTTATAAAGTTTCTTTTGTAATATCTTTATTTTTTTCTGGTATATGATCGTTTCCTCTCTATTAAGAACAAAAAAAATAGTTCATCAAGGAGATTGAAAGTCTTTTTGTCATGGTATAATGTACTGAAGACCACCGTTGTCGTCATCGATTCTTTTCTCTTGTTGTTTTTTGTTAATTTTGTCATGAAAAACATATAATGTACCATAAGTTATTTATTTCTGTGAATAGCGAGACGTTAGATTAGATTTCAGACCTAAAATAATATTTATGACAGATTGACAAAGATATATTGTTAGTTCTACAGTATTAAAATGTATGAATTCTAATTTATTTTTTTTAACTATGGTGGCTGTTTAAGGACATGTTGAGTTTTTCCTATGGTGGAGGAAAAGGGCCAAATAACATGAAAATGCAAGTAGTCACCATAAAGACGCTATAGATTTTGATATTGTGCCTTTCTACTCTCTGTCTGCCAATTGAAACACACACATTTACATGTGTATATGAAGTGAAATCAACATGACCATTGTTGCCAAGTGACCGCTACTCAGCATTGACCGTTAGCTTAAGTTAGACTGTGTACTGTATATCATAGTTGATTTCAGATGTAAATAATGTTTGTAGTATTGTTGTATTGATTCTGCAGTGTGCATGAATTTAAGTGATTTTCTTTATTTATTTTTTCAACAAACTTGAATTTTTGAATTTTGAATAGATATGCATCAACCGAGATTGTTAATGAATTTTACGAATGCTTGATTGAATTTAAATATTATCAATGTATTTTATGAACATAACTCAGGGTTTTTTTCCTTTACACTGTAATTTCATCTAAGTTCCAAGATAAGCATTTTTTCCCCTCTTAAATGTTTTGTTGTTTTTCACAAATTATATTGTATTTTTAATGTATCGTGACAAACTTTCATGATGTAATATAAGAGGAAATTGTTTGAAAATATTGCTTGTAGCATTGGATATTGTCTAGAGATTTTATAATATGTAAGCCGCGTCACGACAAAACCAACATAATGGGTTTGAGACCAGCGTGGATCCAGACCAGCCTGCACATCCGCGCAGTCTGATCAGGATCCATGCTGTTCGCTATCAGTTTCTCTACTTGTTATAGGGTTGGTAAGCGAACAGCATGGATCCTGATCAGACTGCGCGGATGCGCAGGCTGGTCTGGATCAATGCTGGTCGCAAATGCACTATGTTGGTTTTGTCATGACGCGGCTCATATATAAGTAATGAGATCAGTTTTTACTTTCTGCATCAAGTTAATTTTATGACATTTAAGTTTCAGGCAATGTGTGTACATGTATATAGGACATTTTCTCCTCTACAGGTTCGATCATTGTTGAGAGAGTCATTTGTTCAAAAAAACAGATCTGTATAATGATACAGATGTCAGGATTGCTTGTATAGTACTTCCTGCTTGCTGGCCCCGACTGCTTACTAATCTGTCTGTTTTTAGCCTCTACTGCTTGCTAATCTGCCTTTTTCAGCTCTGACTACTTGCTTACCTGCCTGTTTTCAGCCCGACTGCTTGCTAATCTGCCTGTTTTCAGCTCCAGCTGCTTGCTAATCTGCCTGTTTTCAGCCCCAGCTGCTTGCTAATCTGCCTGTTTTCAGCTCAGACTGCTTGCTTACCTGCCTGTTTTCAGCTCTGCATGCTAATCTGCCTGTTTTCAGCCCCGACTGCTTGCTTATCTACCTGTTTTTCAGTCCCAAATGCTTGCTAATCTGCCTGTTTTTCAGCCCGGACTGCTTGCTAATCTGCCTGTTTTTCAGCCCGGACTGCTTGCTTATCTGCCTGTTTTTCAGCCGGACTGCTTGCTAAACTGCCTGTTTTTCAGTCCCAAATGCTTGCTAATCTGCCTGTTTTTCAGCCACAAAATTAATGCTTGCTAATCTGCCTGTTTTTCAGCCCCAAATGCTTGCTAATCTGCCTGTTTTTTCAGTCCCAAATGCTTGCTAATCTGCCTGTTTTCAGCCCTGACCTGACTGCTTGTCAATCTGCCTGTTTTCTATTCCCACTGCTTGTAAATCTGCCTGTTTTCAGACCCGACTGCTTGCTTTCAGGCCTGTCTGCCTGCATGCCAGCATGTTTATTTACTGATTTGCCTTTTTACAAGTCTGCAAGAGATATAAGCCTGCCATAATTTTTTGACAAAGTTGTACTCTTTCATTTTTTGCACTATTCATCATTTTTCAATTACATGTACATATACTTATAATACATGAATAGTGGAGCACTAATTCATATTAACAGCTCTAACTTGTTGAATTTTAATATTGAAATCCCTTGAACTCCAAATGGACTGCTCCAAATTCAAAGCAAGACAAATCCATTTCGTTAAGGGTATAAATAAAGAAGGTAACGGGACATTCTACTGGCCATGCATTTCAAAAATTCGAAGATTTTATTTCGAGCCATTGATATTCATTGTAATTTTTTTACAAAAAAAAGCATTTTATAACAGCTATTGCATTTATTTTCATCTGTGCGCCTTTAAGCTTTACATTTCTATTTAATTCTCCTCACAGAACTGATTTGTTTTTTCTTTTCATTTTCCTATTTTCTATATTCTATAACGATAATAAAATACCGAGATATACAAAGTTCAAAAGAAACGCGTGTAAAAAACTATATTTTCTCTTGTTATTTTTTGCTTGACAGAATCCTTCTAAGTTTTTCTTTGATGATATAAATAGAAATATGCAAAGTCACCAGTCAAATAGTATAATGAGCTCTTTGAGATGATGTAGTTTGCCACATCAGCATGTCTTGAAGCTTAATGATCCATACCAGGGGATCAAAAAAACAAAAGTAGAAAGGGGGGGGCTTCATATCTCTACAACAGTGTATTGAAAATATTGTAAATTTTGATGTCAGGAAAAAAATATTCATCGCCATGGAAATAATTTGATCTCAAGAAATTTTATATCTTCAATTAGATAGATGGTAATTATATAGATGTAGAAGAATGGATCTCTTTGTAATAAGTTACCAAGGATATGAGAATAATAGCAATTTAATATAGTGGAAGAAATTTTATGATTTTTTATTATATTTCCAAGTTTTATGAAATTTTGTAATTCTCAATATTGAATTTAGATCCTTGATTTAAATTGCAGAATAAGCATTATTTTGAAAATATTAAAAAGTGGCTTGCTGCAATATTGAAATATATATATATTGTCAAAAGTGTCTGATTTTTAGCTCGACTATTTTTTGGGGAAAAAAAATAATAAGAGGTATCGTTTACAGTTATATCACAGTTCTCATTGCCGTCTGCAAACTTTAACATGGTTCTTGGTGTAACTATTGTCTTCATACTTGGCCACAACAATCCTTTGGACAAGACCTCAAGTAGACCAGACTAAACTGTGACCTTCATTCATAAATGACCTTGACCTTCAAGGTCAAATTTCTAAATTTTGGTTGATTTTTGCTGGATTGTCTTCAAACTTGAACACAACAATCTTTTAGGACAGACCTTAACCCATTCTCTTAAATGACCTTGACCTTAAAGGTCAAATTATTGAAATTTTCATTTCTTTGCTGTAACTGGCACATAATTCTTTAGGATAAGACCTTCGTGTATATTAAACAATGATTATTGTAATTTGCTGTAAATTGGTTAAATTAATAAATAGATTATCTTCATACTTGGACAAAACAACCTTTTGGACAAGGCCTTCTAAAAAATTGATCTAACCTTGACATTGACCTTTAAATGACCTTGACCGTCAAGGTCAAATGATAGAATTTTTGCTTAAGTTGTCATAATTTTGTTATTTATGTACTGATTTGTCGTGATTCATACGTGAACAAATTACTACATTTGTGACCAAATGGACATGGTTTAATCATAAAGATACGACCTTAACCTTTAAATGACCTTGACTGTCAAGGTCACATGACTGAATTTTGCTTATATTTTCTTGACATTTATTTATGGGTATCTGGAAAAAATGTGACCCCTCAGAAGCATTAAAAACAACAAAATAACATGAAAATTGCAGACTCGGTTTGATTGAGTCTGTAAATGAGAGATAATGAATAAGTGCAACATCCCTGATGCCCCCTAGCACTGGCTTGAGCAGTGTAAATTCTCAACACTTAAAGGTGCTGGACTCAATAATCCTGAAGGACCAGAAATATATAACAGCACTGGGAATTATTCAAACTTAGACAGACCTATTAAAATAAAAAAAAGGAAAACCTCATTTGTTTTTTTTTCTTTAATTTTCTTTTCTATGATTGGTGTAAACTGTTGTTTTTTGTTGTTGTTTTTTTTTTGCTTTTAGAAAATTAAAAAAAGTCAAGCATTTCTCCTGCCTGGCAGTGGCTCTTGCTTATTCACAAGACTAATACAGTAGTGTTAGTGTATTAAATATGACATTGTTAATGTTATGTACTATTAAGTTTTATTTTAACTTTTTTTCCTGCAATATCCTAATCAAACTACTACAATGAAATATGGTAAATCTTGAGCTTTATAATTTTTATAATTTTCTTCATTATTATCTTTTTGACCCTTTTATGAACTAGCTGTCAGAACTATAATGTAAAAATACTATTTGCCTGGAACATTGCTAAAATTACAAGAATTTACTAAAACTGATGGTTGCCTTTTTCTTCATTTGAAGTACACACACGCATGCACGCAAACACATATATACTGCATTTAAATAAAGATGTTTAAGATATTGCATGTATGTCAATATTGACTGTATCAAGGGTTTACAGCAAAACTGCAGTAACTTTTATAAAATAAAGAAGGACTTAAAACAGTCCTGCGGTCAACCCTCAATATGTAATATAACCTATACTGTTAAAGAAGTGATATTTTTTTAAAACCTCAGATTTAACTGAAAATGTGACAAAAATACTATACATAATCACTAATGTTAGAAATATTTTCAGAAAATGAGAATCATATAAACAACATTTTTACTGTATTGTAGAAATTGAAAATTTTGTTGAAAAGCAATTCTGTTTAGTTACGTTTATTTATGTTTTTCATTCAGGTGTGTTAATTTAACAATAAGAGCACTCCTATATAAAGACTCTTTTTGAGATATATAGTAAATGAGGTATGACTTGATTTAATGAGGCTTACATTTTCAGTATCTCGATCCTTAAAGGGACTCCACTGAGGTTTTTTACCATGAAGGGATTGGAAATATTTTCCTGAGATTTATAAAACATTTGATATAGGTCTGAACCTATAACTTTTGTGCAAATTTTCAGATCATTCTTTCATACCCCTTTACCAGTAAATTCAATTTTATTGTGCAAAAATACC